GTGTGTGTGTGTGTGTGTGTGTATATATATATATATATATATATATATATATATAAACGGTGATAATATTTTACAATAATTTTTTAATTTGACTGGTACTGTATGTAATGAGGCTAGCAAACAATACTTGTGAAGGCTGATGAGTGCAGTGTGCCGTAACAAGGAAAGCATGACTCATAGCCAACATTATATGGGTTACAGATCTTATAATGAAAGAAAATACTTTAAAACATGAGAGTGACCTAATTCTGTGTTTTGACAGAGAATGAAGAGAACATCTCCCCGGGAAAGAAGAGGGTTCACTTTGCAGGAGACGGCAAGGAAAACGGCAGACCTGAGAGCAGACTGATCGCTAAACCTCAAGAACATTGTCTTGTAAAGAGGTACCAATGGGCTAACATGCGTATCCAAACTCTTGGTGAAGAGGAAAAGATGTATTCATCAAAGCCCAGAGAGATGCAGGGCATCCGCTAACCATGAACCACAATTTACTACTGAAAGTGGAGCATTAGTGGGATCAAGAGTTTTATTTACAGTTGTTTTCATTAGGAAATAAGATTTGTGCTTTTATTTATTTGCTGCAGCATTTGTACAGTACAGTGGAACAACACATTTGTGGGCATTACACTGGATTATTTTATCAAAGATAATGTGCTGTATTCTTGTCATTTTATAGATGTTTTATTGCCTGGATTGTTTTATTTGGATTTGCAAATTTTTTTTTTTTTTAGAATAAAGTGTTGATAATATTATCAGTTTTGTTTTTATTCATTAAAATTTAGAAGAATTTCTGCTTTGGGCTCCATAACTTTATAATACAGTTCGGGGTTTCACGGTTCAAGGGATACTCTGAATTTAGTCACTTAGTTCTTCGTTTTTCGAGGAATGAGTTAAATTTTCTTCGATCCCAAGTTTTCAGCCAATCGCAGGCGAGTGTGGGCGTGGCCAGACGCTGAGCGTGTTCCGTGCGGAAAGTTCGCCGGTCCGGGTGCAAAGTTTCAGCCGTCTGCAGACCGGAGGCAGAAGACGAGCACTATAACCGGACCGAACTACGGTCCCCAGCGCTCATTACACACGGATCGAAGTATCGCTTACTGTCTGTCTGTCGAAACGAGTTCGGTTATGGGATATTAACCCGAAGGGGCATCGTGTTGATTTAAAGCTTTGTTTCGTGCTCTGCTCGCGGTGGAATCATGGCCTGCGCGCCGAACCGGGTCCGCCTGCTGTGCATGCTGTCGCTCACCTTCGGCTATTTCATTGTGGAGGTGGTGGTGAGCCGGATCACGTCGTCTTTAGCGATGCTTTCGGACTCCTTTCATATGCTGTCGGACGTGATCGCGCTGGTCGTGGCTCTGGTAGCGGTGCGTTTCGCGGAGCAGACCCAGTCCACCAACAAAAACACGTTCGGCTGGATCCGGGCCGAGGTGATGGGCGCCCTGGTCAACGCCGTTTTCCTCACCGCGCTTTGCTTTACCATCATCCTGGAGGCCATCGAGCGCTTCACGGAGCCTCATGAGATCGAGCAGCCCGTGGTGGTGATCACGGTGGGGGCTGTGGGGCTGCTGGTCAACCTGCTCGGGCTCTGTCTCTTTCACGGGCACGCCGGAGGCGGCGGACACGGCCACAGCCACGGGGGACACAAAAAACACAAGAACGGGAAGGTGCGCCGGTGTGAGACGCTGGAGGATAGTCGGGCCGCGGGCGAGGAGACCAATAATCTGGTCGGGAATCAGAACAACAGCCCAAATGGCGTTAATCCGGTCAGGAGCAGAGCCGGTAAATCGGGTTTGTTGTCATTAAAACTTCTAAGATATGTAGAACACTAGATGGATATAATTAATGATTCAAAACAAACGAGATCAGGTGTGTATTAATCAGGTTAAAGTCGGATGATGTACGACGAAACGTGTGGAAAACTTTCCTCTCGGGGCTTTTGTTTCTTGTTTGAGCTTGTTCGTTAACCTGCAGCCACTGGCAACAAGCCCATCAAGTCAAAGCGATTGTTCACCCCAAAATGAATTCCGTCATCGTTTACTCACCCTCATGTCGTTTCAAACCTGTATTTTTTTTTCTGTGGAACATAAAAGAAGATATTTTGAGAAATGTCTCCGTCGGGGTCTAATCAGTAGAAGTCAAGGGTACCAAAACTATTTGGTTACCAGGAATCTTCACAATATCTAAATTCGTTCAAAAAGAGAAGAGACTGGAACTATGCAGCGCTAGCTATCATTTACACAATAGTTTCTTGCTCTCCACGGACGAATTTGTTTCTTAAAATATGTCTGATAAGTTGCAAATGGCACTGGCATTTTCATCCTTTGGTCTTGCTATATTATGTAATGAGGAAAGGAGAATTAGGCTTTTTTTGTCCATACAACGGAAGTCAGTGGTAACTAAAACTGTTTAATGACCAACAATCTTCAAAATATCTTTGTATGTGTCCAGCAGAGGAAAGTCATACTGGTTTGGAATGTCATTAGGGTGAGCGAATTACAGAACTGACATTTTTGTGTAAAATATGCTTTTAAGAAAATGTACACAAAAAATGCCCTGAAATTTGAATGCCCAACTGTTTAAGTGGCGGTTTTCCCTGCTGAAAAAAAGTTACAACCAGCCTATGCTGGTTTAAGCTGGTTTTAGCTGGTCTCCCAGCCTGACCAGCTAAAGAAGTCAAAATTCCTTCTAAACCAGCCTGAAGACCAGCAAAAGGCAGCCACTAGATTAGGCTGGTTTTGGTTGTTGTTGTTTTTTTAAGCAGGGTTGACCTTTATTAAATAAACTATGGTTGCCATGGTTTCCACTAACATATAGTTACTACAGCCATTATTACTACAGTGGAATTGTGGTAATTTTGTGTTAACCACCACTGTGGTCTTTTTTTATAGATAGATAAATACAGAGATCGGTAATTAGGTACTTTATTAAGACCATGTGGGAATTTGGCTCACAATGCTGTTGGACACGATCACTGATCATAGCTCTGGTGACTGTTCTGGTCTTTGTTTGGGGGCTGTCAAAAATAGCCTGCGATCTAAGCCATGTATTCTGTGGTCAGCTAACGGTTCAGTTTCTTAACGCTGTGACACACCAAGCCAACATCAATGAACTAGTGGCGACGATAACCGTCTGTGTTGCCATCCCCTCTGCGTCTGGGTCAGTTAGTTGTGCTTGAACACCTGAGAGGCTACAGTCAACAGCTAACTAGCATATACATTCTGTGCCTGCATGAGAAGAAATAACTTTCTTTACTAGCAGATGGCAGTAGTCTGTGTTTGTAATTCAAAATGGTAAACCAGAATTAGAACTGCGGATATACAAACAGTAAACCATAGGCAGTGCTTTCTACCATTTTCACAATTTTGTATTATTTATTTATTCAAATATGTCTAACAAGATGCCAATTAAACTGGCATTATCAGCCCTTGGTCTTGTTCTTGTAGAAGACGAAAGGAAGAACAGGAGGTGAGAAATAAGGATAAAAATGAGAAAAGGTTAGTCGCTTCTGCCATCCTTTTTGTGCACTGGTTTGCTAAGCTAAACAGCCAATCAGAGTGATATCTCTCCCCAACGCCAGTTCAACATGATCCATCAGCCGAAAAGCCGCAGAATAGCGTCTGACTCGTGCAAACGGTGAGGAGCCCACTAAAAAAAACCTGTGCTGACAGATGCTCAACACCAGCCTGCCAGTGGACGACACCAGCTGACCATTGGCTTGGTGTGTCACGGCCCTTAGAGGCTTTCCGTCTGCTGCTTGACTGTCCATTATCACACACTGTTTATTTGATTAGTCTGTTTTTGTGACAGTTTGAGCAACAATCAACCTTGCTCTTTTGCATAATTAGGTTAAATGCTTCTTGTTTCCATGGATTCAAAACAATGGGATGGCATGGCAGCTCATTACCAGTGAAGATCATGTGCAGACATTTTATTTCTGTGCTTTTATCTGTTTTTTTTTTAATCAGATAAGCAGAATTGTAACCAGATTCCTTCAAGAAAAGCAGTTTATTCCAAATACAAGCTGAAATAGTACTCTGCGTATCTAGAGGAATTTCATCCAAGGCCTTGTCTGCTTGCTTGTTTATGACAGCCCAGATGAAAGATGAACAGATGGGTCATATCACATGAGAGATGAACAGATGGGTTACATTACCCACAGGCTTCAGTGAATGATCAGCTCACTGCAAAAATGTTATATTAATGAAATGAAGCTTCTGTGTATTTTGACGGTACATTGTTAGTGAGGCTTTTGGATGAATATTACATTTGTTGGCACACCAAAGGCGATAACTATAACTGTAAAGTTTTAATAATTGTTCTAATTCTGAGAATAGGGAAGTCCACAGTACACCTATAAAAATAATGTCATACAGGAACAATATCATTGGAATCACTTTCAAAATTTTTTTTTTTTTTCAGTTGATGAAAACATTGACAGCCAGTTGGAATCCACTAGGGATGTGCAAAATTTATTGTGTACATTAATATCATAATTGTTAAGAATGTGCGAGCTGACATTACAAAGCTTTTGGTCTTTGCAGTCCAAAAGCATTTACTGTAACAAAAAAAAACAAAAAAGCCTGTTAGAATTCCCATATAATTCACGTTTTAAAAAAGCAGAAAATATCCTGTATGTGTTTTTGTTTTTTTATATTTATAAGATATGATATAGTTAGGCAATGTCACACAAACAAGAGTGCCATTTTCCCAAAAGTCGGCGCAATCACAAATGTTTTATTGATTTTATACAACAGGTCAATATACAAAAACTTAATACTGAGTGAGATGCATTTTATACATAATATTGTTTGTCTGTTTTGTTTTGTTTTGTTCTGTTTTTCTGTTTCACCAATGAAAAAGCCAGAGCAGGACATTGGTGCATCTCAGAGCAACACATTCCTGAATGAATCATTTGAGTCAACGATTCAGTGATCTATTCATAAAGACTGTTGCTGGCTTCATTTCTAAATGAATCAGCAGTTTTGAACACATTTTTTGAATGATTGATTCTATGAATCACTAATTAAGACAGCCAAGCCAAGGTACCAACACAAAAACACGCTTCGCAAAATATTTTTAAATTATTAATATTCTTTTTTAAAAATCACAAAAAATATTGAGATATCGTACACCCCTAGAATCCACTTTAGAAGATGTTAAAGAGCATTTAAAGCGGCAAATGACTGTAGTGTATGCTTAAAATAAACAGAATGTTATCGTGTGATGATGTGGATGCTAATATAGTTGCTGTTATAGTTATCTTTATCTTTTGTTATGATTCTTGGTGTGAACGAGCCTTTACTTTTTGCTGTGGAATACTTTTTTTGTACATATAATGAAAGTCAAGTGGGGTCCAATGTTGTTTTTGGGCTCCATCAATATTAATTATATAGGTGAAAAATAGTCTTAAATATCTTCTTTTGTGTTCCACAAAAGAAAGTAGATCATACAGATTTGAAACAATATTGAGTATTTTTGGGTGAACTAACGCTTCGAACAATATCACATTTTACTAATTATTAATATTAGTATGTATATAAGCCGGTCTGGAACAGAGTATGTGAGTGGAGCTACAATAGTTTCCCCTCCTCTCTCAAAGTGTTCTCCTCCAGCTACTCTGAATTTCCCATTCTTGTTCCCTGCTAGTTAGAGTGAGACACACTTTGAGCCAGAGAAACAGTCTTTCAAAAAAAGGAAAAAACTAATAATAATAATGTAACTCCACTTCACACTGCTTCCATACTGTTGTCTGGAATGCTGTGAATACAAACAAGTGAAACATTCCAGTGCTTTTATACACCCTAATTTCCTCAAAAGTTGAAAAGTTTGTCTTTCCAAGTTAAATGGAGCAAAGCATAACTGCTGATTAAAGGTGGGGTAAGCGATTTCTGGTAGCCAATGTTGACATTTCAATGAGAATATACAAACTGCTGTTTTGTCATATGTTTTCTTGAATTTTCATTCTTGCTTTCTTTCTCCTTCGTAGAGATGTGTCACAATGACAGCCTGGATTTGCAGATTAACGGCGGCGCTCCGTACGAAGAGCTCGAGAATGGACACGACTCGGCGTCCCAGCTCAACATGCGGGGGGTTTTCCTGCACGTCCTGGGCGACGCTCTCGGCTCGGTCATCGTGGTGATCAACGCCATCATCTTCAACATCGTATGGAAGCCATGCTCTCCGGGCAGTATCTGTGAGAACCCTTGTGTAGGCCAACATTGCGCTGACCACTCGCTCAACAGCAGCAGTGCAATATCCAACGCCACTTTGCACGTAGCGGGACCCTGCTGGGTGCTGTATCTCGACCCCACCCTCTGCATCATTATGGTCCTCATCCTCCTCTACACCACATACCCGTTGTTGAAGGAGTCTGCACTTATCCTGCTACAGACCGTGCCCAAGCAAATCGACATGCATCAGCTCAACGCTCGCCTGAGGGATCTGGAGGGTGTGCTGGCGGTGCACGAGCTGCACATCTGGCAGCTGGCAGGCAGTCGCATCATCGCCACCGCGCACATCAAATGCCACGACCCCACGTCCTACATGGACGTAGCCAAGCGTATCAAGGACTTTTTCCACAATGAGGGCATCCACGCTACAACCATTCAACCAGAATTCGTAACGGTGAACTCGGAGTCTCGCATTTCACTCTGCGAGCTCTCCTGTAGAACGCAGTGCGCCCCAAAGCTCTGCTGTGGCGCCGTTGATGCTGCAAAGCCTCCTGATGGAGCTATAGAACCGAAGAATCCATGTGAAGCCAAAACCCCAACGGTAACCAGTACTTCTGCTACATCTCTGGAGATCATCAGCGAGTCTGTGGAGGAAACAAGCAGGCCAGAATCCGTTGTGATCATCACTAGGGAGGTGGAATCGTCATTGTGAGCGAGGAGAAGGTTAGACGGAGAACATTCTGTTCTCTTAAGAGTACTGAAGTGTATTGACTCAGCTGACTGATTTCTGCCATGCTGTGAGAAGAACTGAGCCCAAATACACTCATGATAACACACACACACACACACCGCAGCTCGATATCTCAGATACCACACCAACATACAGACAATATAAATAGGCTGGAGATCAAGGCTAGCCTCCTCTGCATGTGTGTTTAGCACATCGTCTGATTGGTGTGTCCGTGCCAAAGCTTCTTTTCATACAGGACACCAGACACTTGTGTCCTTCCTGTGGTTTGTAATGCAACGACATGCAATTTTAACATTCAGCTGCTGGACCAAGTAGAAATGTCTGGACCAGTTTTTTTTTTCTACCCATCCTTTTTCTGTTTTATCCATCACACTTTATTGTTTGTTTCTTAGTCATATTCAAATTTTCAATTTTGTGAGAGATGTAATAATTTATGTATTTAAGTTATTGTTAAGTATTTTTTTTTTTCAAAGAGCTTTTTGTAAGATTTAGATTTGGTGATATTAGAGATAAAAACAAAAAGGATTTTTTGCTTCTTTCACAACCAATGATCTGTACTTTAATCGAGAGTATTTTTAGATGATGCCTTTCAAAGATTGCTGTTCAGTCTTTCACTTATTCGTTTTATTAGACATCAGAAGACATGTCGACAGTACTTCGCCATTCCTATAATTCAAACTGCTGTTATAGCACTGAATCTAGTCAGTGTAGGAACTAGACAAACCTTCTCTTATTGGTTTTTATAAAAGCTGATGCCTTGTTTGTTCTGTTGTTGTCAATCAAAACGAGGTGAAAATGCTGTAAAAAAAAAAGTTGTTTTTTTTTTGGTGGGACTGCTGGAGCGTGATATGTTGTGTCCATGCTGTCATAAAAGTGAAGGGACCTCCTAAGATTTGTGGAAAACATAAATTTGTGCATGACCAAATATACATATGGTTGTATGGAAAGCTTTGAGAAACCAAGCAAAATTTGTAAACCAAAAGACAAGGGATTTTCTTTCTGAAATACACAGGGAGTAGGCACATAGGTTTGGGGTGTCACACAATCTACTCAGTGGCCTTCAGTAGAAAAAAAAAACATATAATATCAGCTCTTCACAACAATATTTATATCTGCAATTTTTAGCATTTGGTGAAAATATGCAATTTATGAAAAACAGAAATGTACTAGTGTTTATTATTAGTTGTAGTGAATTTCTTAGAGATCTTTTAGAGGAAAGATGAGCTCAAATGTGCTGACGGAGTGTTTGTATCACCGAGGATTTTAAAAGTACCATGCCAGCTGAAATGTTTTTGATATATTACTGTCAAACGTGTCATTGTGAATTAAACATGCTTGTTTGGTATTGTTCAGTTCATGTCTGTTGTGTCACTTTTTTTAGCAAAGCTGATTTATGCGAGGTTTATTTGATTTGACCAATTAATGAATAGAATAAGACACTTCAACATTGTACAATGAAAGGAAAATCTCTATGCAAATTATAATTTAGGCCAAGTCAACTTTAAAGGGGTCATGTGATGCGATTTCAATTTTTCCTTTCTCTTTGGAGTGTTACAAGCTCTTGGTGCATAAAGAAGATCTGTAAAGTTGCAAAGACTAAAGTCTCAAATCCAAAGAGATATTCTTTATAAAAGTTAAGAGTCAACCACGCCTACCTAAAACGGCTCGTTCTAACACGCCCCCACATACCTACATCACGATCTGGGAAGATTTGCATAAAGCCGCCCAAATCGCGTAAAAAGACAGTATAAGTCATTATAATCCATAATTATGTCAGCACTGCATGCACTAAATGCCTCGTTTATAATGGGTTTTAATGTTTTTGTCTCGTCGCTCCGGCCGGACAGGGCATCACAGTATGGTAAGGGGCGTAACATTTCCGTCACACGCTTGAGGTATTCGGCCAATCACAACGCACTGGATAGCTGGCCAATCAGAGCACACCTCGCTTTTCAGACCGATGAGCTTTGTAAATATCGACGCGTATCAGAAAGGCGGGGCATAGAGGAGAAACAATAATGTACAGTATGTGGAAAATAATGTGTTTTTTGAACCTTAAACCGCATAAACACATTTCATTACACCAAATACACAAAATAATGTTCTTTTTAGCAACATCATATGACCCCTTTAAAAGCTGGCCAAGATGAAACCTGTGAATGCTAAAGAGCAGCGGGGGGGCATCATTTCAGTTTCAGCCTTAAATCCATCAAGAGACACAAAGTGAAAATGATCAGAGATGTTGTAATGCTGATAACATTTAGTAAACAAAAAAATTATCAGCTTCGAAGTCAGTTAAATAGTAATGTAGCCAAGAAATGTTTTGTTTGCTTCCATGACAAATAGCAAATGAGTCATCAAGTATATTATACCCATATGGTGTAATGTGAATTTATAAATTATGGTACGTAACATGGAATCAATTATTGTTTGATTTAGCAAAAAATAAATAAATTTAAATGTTTAAACTACATTAATTTTAACTTTAAAAAATGTTACAGCTAAATGTTTCATTGACCCTTCCACATAGAGTATATAAAGTCAAATTAAATTTAAAGTTAAAATTAAATTGAATAGTAAAGAACATTATAGTAGTGCAGAATGACTTCTAACATCATTTCCAGATGCTATACGACTCATTTATTCTGTGACACTCCAGTTGGTAAATGTATAGCAATATTAACATTTCAAACAAGACTTCAGCCTGGCTTGATTCTGTCATTGTTTGCTGTAACTGCTGACAACTCTACCTTTGCTACAAAAACCTATTTACCAAATGGCCTGCAAACAATGGATAGTTGGATGGTGGAAGATGTTTGGCTAAACACTCTAGTTTTAGGCCATAGTGACTATTCAGCCAAAAAGAACTTATATTCATGTTTCTATGCAGAAGTCTGTGGTAATGTTTTGTCTCAGAGCTGTAGATCTATGTTGACATTACATTCCAGCTTCCACTTTTTCCATTAAAAAATGGTTTCATTTCTACAATGGCGTTTCAATGGGCCACAAACATTCACTGTATTTTTAACAATCTAATATCCTTGAAAATATTTGTGAAAGGTAAATAGCATTGCCTAATTTTGTAATTAGTTTAAAAGCAAACAATAGATAAAGTGTAAGGTCTGTGGTTGAAGATACTTTTAACACAACTCTGGTTTGAGGAAATGTGACTGAAAGGCATACAGAGACTCCATTCAGCATGTTATTGCAGAACCTTGAGTCATGATGGAAACTATATAGCTCCAAAAAAAAGAGAGAGAAAGGCATTTACATTGCATAAATGCCACATGCCGCCTGATAATGAATCCCACACAGCAGCACTCTGGCCTCATCAAAGCCGTCACATGACTCTGCTGTCCAAAACCTGCCTTTCATAATGACCCAGCACCTGTTGGTGTTGCCATTGACTTCCATAGTAGGAAAAAAAAATACTATGGAAGTCAATGGCAACCACCAACTGTTTGATTACCAGCAATCTTCAAAATATCTTCTTTTGTGTTCAACATAAGAAAGCAACTCATACAGGTCTGGAACGACATGAGGGTGAGTAAATCATGACAGAATTTTCATTTTTGGGTGAACTATCCCTTTAAGACAACCGCATTTAGATCTCTATTTCGGTACGCAACTCACACTTTTCACGATTCAGTCAACAACCTTTGGATGAAATTCAAAAAAGTCTTGCCCAATATTTTTTTGTTTGATCGCGACTTCTGTCTCATGCTGACGCAACTGCCATTACATTTATCTTGCATGCGCCATCTTTTTTGAATTAGTGATTTTTCAGTTTTATTTGATTTCCTTTACATTATCCTTATTGGTACTGACTTATCGGTCATTCAAACACCATATGTACTAAGTATGCACATATCTTAGTGAACAGGCGCTCGAGCTATAGAACCTCACCCAAAAACACATTCCTCTCACAGCTGATACAAGAAACAGAGATTAAGACAACAGCAGGTCTATAAAGCTGATGGTGCTCAGATCACATACAGAAACAACATAAACAAGGGTGTGAATCTGGAGAAACAAGCGCTTCAGAAGAAGTGCTGCCTTCAGAAATGTTCAAATTTCCACTTCTGAAGTCGTAATTACAAGTTGGTCATGTTGATCACGAAAGAACAGGGATGGAGGACACCAGGTTCACTTTATATATGTTTTATACATATAGTGTCCCAGCTGGGGCCTCTAGAGGGGCGATTCTAGGATTTTCATTTTAGGGGGGCTCAGCCCCCAGTGAGGGTATAATAATAATAATAACCTAATAAAAAATAATAATAATATGCTTCATTTTCGCTGGAGGAAACAGCTGTGGTGTGATGAGGGGTGAACGCAGTGAAAACTTAGGCTACAGTACATGGGGAACCAACCGATTATTGCTCTCCCATGATATTTTATAAACTGGATTTATGACAAAGAACTGCACAGATGCATATATTATAACACTATATCGATAAACACACACCTTGTCCTCTGTTTCTCGCACTGAGCCGCTGCGGTCTGCGGATTGACGAATGCGCTGAAAGACAGGGAGGAGCCGATCAAAGTCTGCCGCCGTTTTCATATTAAATTTAAAGGGGACTAAGGCGATCACGATTTCGTGTACAGTTTATGGAGATAATCGCAAAATTTTAGGGGGGCTAAGTAGCTATAGCCCCCCTAAAAATGGCCTAGCGACGCCCATGGTGTCCCATTCGATGACATCCATATAAACATTACATGTGCTATTATATGCATTATACCATGCTATCTATATAGTCAGCTTGCTAACGCTTCTGGAATTTCAAGCAAATAAATGCTGTTCTCACTATGTAAAATACATACCATATGCATCAAATGGTTATTTAAATATGTAAATGTACATAATTGTAATAGTAAAAAAAAGCAATGTAGATGTTGTGTAAAATTCAAATTAACGGTCACTCCTCACTACTGTGATGCTGGCCTGCTCAACTTTGAAACTGCCCAACTTTGAGTTTCCTAGTCATGTAAATGTGTCTTGAGAGGCCATTCATGTCTATTCATGTTCATGTATTTCTGATAACTCTGACAGCACATGAAGGC